ATTCTCACCGTGAGTCGCGGCAATTGGATCCACCGCAGTTCGGTGCTCGGACCATAGTTGATCAACTGAACTGAACATCTGGCGTATTCAATAAGGCACTACCAGATAAACATTGATCAGGCATACGTAGTAGGTGCCCAAGTCAGCGCAGGTTATCCGTTGCTATCTGTTGTTCTAAGTAACTAGCTTGGGTAACATTGCATAGCACTCGCCTACGCACCTCATCGTTACGGACACGATGACGCCACCCGACACAGAAAGCTATGCCCAAAGACTTGAAGGCGCTTCAGATCGAAGGGGCCATTTTACTCCCACAGAGTAGAATGGCCCTCACAGTGGCCTTGTAAACACGGACTTTAAGATGTAGGGAGACTTCTTTTTCGAAAACGAAAGACAATCTGATGAGCAATTGCATTCCAGGATTCATCCCCAGACCATTACAATCATATGGAGGCTAAAAATATAAAATCGACCCATTTAATTCAAAACGAATAGATCACATGGGGTCTATGTCGGAAACGAAAAAACGAATTACGTCTTAGTGGGCTAGTTGTTTGCTACCGCGTCTGACCGAAGGCAGTCGACCTGGGCGTCTTCCGTTTTTACTGACCAGGGAAGCTGGAGAGCCTGGATCAGCTTATTCTGCGGGCATAAGGACGGCTGGAACAATCGAATTCAAATTGCTTCAGCTGTCGCAAGTGTACGGAGTCGGTAACCTTTCGATCAGCGTGGCGGAAGCTTGTAAACTATTCGGAAGGCGCGTTTCAGATCCACCTCATGGCCGCAATCCACAATGTGGGCCAGAATGGCGCTGCTAATGGTCGCGACGCCTCTTTGACACAACAACGATGGCAATGTTCGTTCACATGTTTGGATAACTGCCCGTCGTTCGACCAATATACGTTGCGCCACAGCCGCTCTCAAATTGATAAATTACCATTGAGGTGGTCAGCATCGGCACTTTGTCCTTGTTTTGTGAACGAATGAATGGTTCCGTTGAAAACGTACTTCAACGAGGTTGATGCGAAAATCGACTTTACCGCCGCCGAAATGCTTCTAGTTAGACGCTCGGTAGCCACGTTCCTTTTGAATGGTAAACGAATAAATAGCTCTGCTTTTAACACCAACATTGGGCTAGATTTTTCTTGTGAGTTCCTTAAAATAAATCCATCGGGATAACCGTTTTCACGTGGAGTATTCTTTATGAACATCATCTCCTAGTCTAGGGTGTCTTCCGTACAGATTCGATGTGTTCTTGAGGTAAGGCAGTAAACGAATTTGCGCTTGTATCTCATAGGAACGAAACTAAAAGTTCGTGTACTGACCTATTCACATTGTCTTTCTGTAGACCTGACGCTGGATGGATCCGTCTGGTTTTCTTGTTAACAATACATCGAGATATGTTGGCCGATTGTCGCTATTTTCTCGTCAGTAAACTGCGCTGCTGCATGTACTCGGTCAAAGTGGTCAAGAATTTTATCCAAATTAACATATTCATCCACCACAACAAATATCTCGTCCCTGTATCGATGATAGTGGTCAAATAGATTTATCGCCGCCCTAATTTCGGTTCTCTCCAGTTTTGCCATAAAGGTATCCGCTAATAGCGGTCCGAGGGGGGATCCCATGGCCACGCCATCCTGCCGGTAGTATTTCCCCTTGAACAGAAACTGTACATTCCAGGTGCACCTTGACAATAGGTCTTTGAGCTCACGCGTAGGTATACACACTTTTATTCCTGACCCAGCTATATAGCCGCAAATGTAATCGATCGTTTCAACCAGTGGGACATTGGTAAAAAGAGACGATATCGAAAAAGGGCATTACCTTCTCATTGATTTTATCATCCTTGATGCTTTCGACGAACTGGAGGCTGTCATGAAGGCTGTAAGTAGCGAGCTGTTGTTGCACAGGTTCAAGAAGTTCCACAAACCGCTGAGCGATGGCATGGTACGGTGAGTTTACTATCGATAAAATAGGACGAAGTGGGATGTTGGCTTTGTGAATTTTTGGTAACCCGTAAAGACTTTGGATGCTTGTGCCACTCGGTTTAAGGCTGTGCTACAGAGCATCTGGAATGTACACTTTGGCCCGGAGTTCTTGCAAGCTCTTAGTTATCTGTGTTTCAACTTGTTCAGTTCGGTCCGTTTATCCTTCAGTGTACGAAAACTTCGTCTCCTCGCTCACTATTATTGTTAGTTCATCTCTGTAATCTATTCTATCGAGTAACACGATTCCAACACTTTTGTCCGGTCTGCACAAGACGACTTCCGCATTGCGTTTTAGTTCATTCAGCGCATCTTTCTGTCGCTAAAGATGTCGCAGATATAATAAGGCAGTTCTGGCTTTTGCATTGCGGTAACTGACTTCATTCAACGCTTATGCCTTCATCGTTGCTGATACGGCTGTCAAGGCGAGTGAATCGACAAACTACATTATGTTCCTCGTTATCAAGGGTCAAGGAATAATCCAGCGGCTGATGATCCTTCATCGGCACTTAATACTTTGAAGGTGCGAAGCGCATACCAAATAATGGAACCACTCTAGACAGGCTATTCAGGGCTGATTGTGTCGTCCCAACATCGTCGAAAAGCAAGACGATATCGTCCGCATAATCAAGATCAACTGACCTTTTACCGGACAGGACCTCGACACCAGCATCGTAAAGCTGCGCAAGGGAACACTCCATGGTGGGGTCCACGACGGCCCGTAGCCTAGAGGTAACGAGCTTGTAATCTTGCGGCGCGGATTCGAGCCTGCGTGGGAGCAGGGCGATCCTCGCAGTATTCTTAGCCCACGTGCAACCGGTGGTGGTTGCACCGTTGCTTCGGTACTTCGTATCGGCGAGTTGCTGATGCCCACAACGAAAGTGAACAAAAATGCGGAAATCGGACAATCTTGGCAAACGTCACTTGTGGTCGGAAAGCTGTCCGACAGATCGCTGTAGACTCTGACACGCCCTATAGTGTTCGAGTATAGAGCACGTAGGATGTTCACATATTTCGTGGGGACAACTTTCCGCGCAAGTGTTTCGAACAGAATTCAGCGATCGAATGAATCGAACGCACCCTTGAATTTGAGGAATACAGTTATTACTAACGAGTAGACGGCTTTGAGTATGATTCTATTTGGTTCATCGCAGTTACATTCCAAACCGCATAGGTAAGCTACCAGTCCGGAAAAGCACTAAACGCGTGTTTCGCCCTATTGGGGCTGGTCAGTGGTGCGCATCCATCGGTCCCCTACTGGGGATCGAACCCATGACCGCTAGAGGCTAACGCCAACTAGCCAGCAGATTATGCCACTGAGCCATCAGGGACGACAGCCGACCACTACGAATTGAAACTTAAGTGCGATTTGGCCCGACCCATCCTCCACTGCCGTGTAGACTATTGCCCTTGCAGAGAACAGTGGTTGGCCGTCACGGTCAGGTCTTTCTTTGCAAGCGCCGTGAATCCACACAGCAATTTTGAATGCTGTTAGGGAAATAACCTACACGGCAGTAAAGGATGGGTCGGGCTATATCTAACTTAGGTTTTGATTCCTAATAGTCGGTGTTATAGCGCTGTATCCGCAATCGACCGGTTGATTCGCGCCTGCTGGTAACTCTACGCTGTTACGCTTGCTCTGTTTGACGCCTTGGCAGACCCGACAGGAAGGAAGACAGAAGAAAACTCAGCAGACCAGTTGTATTAGGACCGAGAACGCTCATATGTCAGTCTCATCAACCCTCTAAACATCACTTGGCGGATTTGGCTGCACGCCCATGCTCCACACTTAATTGTCCGCTCCGTCTGGCCAGTTCACCGTCTTGCTCGAGCACGCCAGTCTTCATTGGCCTACCCGGGGCATTACAACGCAGGTTATGTTTGACGCGCGATTTCATCAGCTTTCGGTCAGACCTTGGCAACACGCATGCTGTCTGATGCGCGATTTCATCAGCTTTCGGCTGGGCCCTGGCAACACGCTCGCAGGGTCTGTTCCAAGCACGATTTGTGGCGAACACGCGCGTTGGCAATCAGCTTTCTTGCCCAGCTGTCACCTCTCTTTCCGAATTGAGTCAGCTTGCAAACCCTTCGAACTTGATTGTGTTCGTAGCTTTTCGCCCGGGGATCGATTTGCAGTCATTGTGGTGTTTTCCGCTTCCGAGCCGACCTGCATTGTGCATCTGATGTTTGCGGTATCTGTTTTGTCCCACCGGGTTGCTGACCCTCAACTTCCAGCCCGAACGTGTCTAGTAGAATTTCCCAATACAAAGCTGGTGGTTCGTGGGGACCTTGAGTTTTGCCATAGTTCGGTCTCAACTGATTGATGTGCCTAATCCACCTCTCACATCCAACCATCACCTCGTAGAGAACTCTGCCTTTCCTGTCGATAACAGTTCCACTCGACCACCCCTTTGGCCTTCGAAAATCCCGGGCGTAAACCATGTCACCAACATTAAAGTTACGGAGCCTGACTTTGCGATCTTCCTCCAGGTGATTACTGCCGTGCTTTTCTATTCTTTTTGGTAAAAGATTATCGAACAATGTCCGGATCTTTTTTTCCAAATAGTACTTCTGTGGGGGATTTCCAATCAGGGGTGTTTGGGTTCGGAGCGTTCCGATACATGCATTGGAAAGATTGAATTGCATCCTGTGAAGCCCTTCTTTGCCCTGCTTTACAGAGTGCACGTTTGAACGTATCCACGAACCTTTCCGCCTGTCCGTTTGATTACGGATGAAATGGTGGTGAGAACATCTGCTGAATTCCCTTTTCCTTGCACCTCTTGCGGAAAGAAGTTAAGGTGAATTGTGTTCCATTGTCTCACTAACATCTCTGACAAGCCGAAATATCGGAACAGATTCTTCAGCTCGTTGGTAGTGTGCTGGGCAGTCGGATTGTTTACCGCAATCACATCAGGTCACTTGGTGAATTAGTCGACCAAAACGAGATAGGATTGACCATTGATTGGTCTTGCGTTCTCTAAGTGTATTCGTTACCACTGTTTCTCTGTTTTAGGCCAAGGCTTACACTGACACTTGAGGGGCCTTCGCTGCAAGTTGACAAGATTCACACTGTTGGCACAACATTTCAATTTCCGAATCCATTTCTGACCAGTAAACAAAACTGCGTGCCAAGGCTTTCATGTGGCTGGTACCAGGGTGCCCCATGTGGAACTGCTGCAATATTTGCCTCTGTAATTTCTTTGGTACCACCACTCGATCTCCAAACATCAGACAATTGTCCACGACTGACAGGAATCCACGTCGATTGTATATGGGCCGCAACTCCTTAGGTATGCCTCCATTTGGCCAACATGTTCGTACACACTGCATCGTTTTCTCCTAGATTCTGTCCCGTGATGTCTCCCTACGAATGGTGTCGGCTGTTAGTGGTAGCCTTCTCACAGTATCAGCCAGGATTCGTTGGACTTCTGATTCGAAACTGTTAGCTGCAATCACACAATCATCGTCTTCCTTTGGGTGTGAATTGATGAGACGAGACAGAGCATCCGTTTGACCGATTAGTTGAGTAAGTTTATACTGCATACTGAAGTCGTAAGCCAGTAGTATGGCCACCCATCGTTGCAATCGGTTTGCCGTAAAAACTGGAATTCCTTTCTTTGACCCGAATATCGGTAGAAGTGGCTTGTGGTCAATCAGGAGCGTGGAATGTCTGTCATACGGCATCTTATGGAACCGTTTCATTGCGAAAACGATCGCGAACGCTTTCTTCTCTATCTGGCTATAGTTCTTTTCAGCTGCCGTTATTGGCCATGCTGCGTGCGCGATGGCCTTCACTCCTCCATGCGGAAAAACGTGGGAGATAACTGCACCGACACCATAATTGGAAGCATCCGTAGCAACGAGAATTTTGAAATTCGGATTGAAGTAAGTCAAGAGTAGATCAGAAGTGAGAGCTGCTCTGACTGCATCAAAAGACTGCTGACACTCTTTCGTCCATTTTCAACCTGTGTCTCTTGTCAGTAGCTGGTTCAGCGGACCTCTGGTTTGTGAAGGTTTGGTTGGAAAGCGTTGTAATGGCTAACGAGCCCAATTAACGAGCGGATCTCTGCAATGCCTCCTGTGGGCTACATCTTTTTGTTGCCTTCAATATTGGCGGGATCCGGGCGCCGGCAATGTTTTTCGATGCTAAACCCAAGAAATTTGACACTTTCTAATAGGAACTGACATTTTTCAGCCCGTAGTCGGGATCCAGCTTCTTCGAAACGCAAAAGCACTCTCTCCAGTGTCTGTATCAATTTTTGCCGATCTGAGCCCATAATCAACGCATCGTCCAGGTATACTGCTGTATTTTGGATATCTCTCAGCAGGGTATCCATTATTTGTTGCAAAATGGCCGCTGCGGTTTTCACTCCGAACGGCAGCCGGTTGTACTGAAAAGGTTCGAGGTGGGTATTTACTGTCATTAATGTTCTGCACTGATGCGCAACTGGGATTTGCAGATACGCATCAATTAGGTCAAACTTTGAGAAACATTTCCCCCCATTGAGTTGGCTGAACAAGTCTTCTGGTACCGGCAGGGGATACTGATGATCTTCCGACACAGAATTTAAACCTGTCGAGAAATCAGCACAACCACGGACTTTACCGTTTCCTTTCTTTACCACCACGATAGGTGCTGCCCATTTTGAATAGTGAACTCGTTCGATTATCCCTTCAGACTGTAGTCGGTTTAACTCGGCTTCCACTAAGGACTGGGTTGCGTAGGGCACCGGGCATCTTGGTCTAAAGACTGGCTTGGCGTCTGGTTTAAGGTTCAATGCGAAAGTAGCTATGTTGCAGCATCCTAGACCAAGTTAGAACAATGTATCATGACGTCGTTTTATCTCTGTAACCTGACTTTGAAACTCTAGCTTGAAGTCGACGGTTGCGACAGCAGATTGACTTGCGGTGGCTGACATATACTGTTCACTGATTGATCAAGCAGTTTCTGTTCGTCCATCCAGTCAAGCCCCAACATATCTAACCCCGGCTGGCCTGTCACTGAACATGTCGTCTGGGTTTGTTTATCGCGGAAGTTTACCTGACAATTCAGTTCAGCAAGCAATTTTAACGCACCTCCTGAAGCATTCCGTGCCGTGTGGCCCTTTCGTATGAGTGTCGGTCGCCCCAGCATGCACCAAGTGTTGTGAGATATCAGGGTGATATCTGAAGCCGTGTCGATTTGTAACTTGACTTGGAAGCCGTTGATTTTCACAATTGTGTATTTGCACTTGCTAGCCCCGTCAACCTTGAAGGTTGTGGTGATATATCTGGTCAAATTGGGAGGCTGGAACCATCTGGCATTGTTACGCATCTTCTTGGTCAAAATTGGGCGAGTTGCCGGGCAACATGACTCCTTATTCCCTTTTCTGCCGCAGCGGTTGCAAGTGTTAGTTTTGAATAGTCACTCGCGGGCAAAATGCCACTCTCTACAAAACCAACATGCAGTGGGAGGTTTAGAATGCGGTGAACTCACGTAGGGAGTTTCTTTTGGAGAGTACGGCTGACTGCACAGACAAAATCTTATTCGTTCTGATTGGACAACTGTTGAATCATTGCGGTATCGTGCTTCAGATTCGTCATGCTTTGGCACTCACCGGTCACTTACTGCTATGTGACATCCGGATTCTGCTCAATTTTGTTCAGTATTCTTGTTCGAATGTCGACGTCTTTGGATGTTTGTAGTCCACAAACGTATATGAGACATTCAAACTGATCACTTGTCATCTTGTGTATTTGTGACCGTTCGCACTCTCGATTCACACGGCTGGAATAGTCGACCCAGTCTTCGTCTTCTTTTTTTGTTAATGTCAGACACTTGTACCGGATGTGGAACAAAAATGTCTACTCTCCCAAAATTCGCGACAGGACTGCGATCACTTCATCGAAGGACAAATTATTACTTGTTTTAGGTAAGATAAAATTAGCGAGCTTCTCGTGTTCGGCAGCACCCAGCTTCCGCAGCATTAGTCGATTCCTCTTTTCTGCTGGAAGGTTGGCAAAATCAACCCGGAACATGTCTTTATACTTGTGGAACCAAGAAACAAATTTTACACCGGCATCAGCGTCATAGTGGAACTCAGTGATCTGCTGAGTCAGGGTTTCTGGTGAGGGAGCACTTTCACTTGTCGCTAACCCTGGGCTTGACGGCACTGTCAGCTTCTGAGTTATCATCTCGATCAGCTTCGCCTGGGATGCTTCAAACTGCGCCTGTTGTTGCTGCAAAAGCATCTGCAATTGTTCAAAGCTGATTGCCATTTCTGCGTTCGGTTGTACTCGCGTCGCCACTGTTATAACGCTGTACCCGCAATCGACCGGTTGATTCACGCCTGCTGGTAAATCTGCGCCCTTACGCCTGCTCTGTTTGACGCTTTGACAAACGCGAAAGGAAGGAAGATTCAGCAGACCAGTTGTATTAGGACCGAGAACGCTCATATTTATAAGTCGAAATCACCAATCCTCTAAATATCGCCTGGTGGATTTGGCTGTAAGCCTACGCTCCACACTTAATTGTCCACACCATCTAGCCAGTTCGCCGTCTTGCTCGAGCACGCCAGTCTTCATCGGCCTACCCGGGGAATGGCAACGCAGGTGATGTCTGACGCGCGATTTCACCAGCTTTCGGTCAGACCTTGGCAACACGCATGCTGTCTGATGCGCGATTTCATCAGCTTTCGGCTGGGCCCTGGCAACACGCTCGCAGGGTCTGTTCCAAGCACGATTTGTGGCGAGCACGCGCGTTGGCAATCAGCTTTCTCGCCCAGGTGTCAGTTTCCTATCGTCCCCCATGGCTCAGTGGGATAAGCTGCTGGCTAATTAGCGTTAGCTTCTAGCGGTCCCGGGTTCGATCTCTAGTAGGAGAGCGATGGATGCGCATCACCAACCAGCCCTAATATGTCGTTACGCTCGTCTGCAGCTTTTCCAGATTGGTAGCTTACCTATGCTGCTTGGAAGGTAATTGCGATGAACCAAATCGAGTACAGCTATTGTCGGTCTGCGGTGTGTGTGGCGCTGCTCTGGCACCTGCCGCAGCTTTAATATATGGTTTATCAACTCCGTTCAAGGCGGAAACCTGTCTACTGTTCCCTAGTACCGAATTCCCGTTCGGCAGTGAGGCGACAAACGAGAATTGAGGCCAGTACTTTTGTCACAACTGGCGTTAAGCTAATACCCTTGTGATTAGCACAGGAGTGTGACTACCATTCTTGTATATTGGCACTATAATCGTTTCGCTCCAGTTAGCCGGGACGCTCTCTTTCTTTCAGACACATTCGAATAGGAAGGTCATTGCTTTGCAGAGGATCTCATCCTTGAATAGGTGGGAGAGAATCCGGGTCAGCGGTACGAAAACGGTTGAGGGCTATGATCGCGTTTCGGACCTCTGTCTCCGGTGGAGCCTCTAACCTAGCCGTCCATGACTCATCCTGCATCATCTGAGTAGAAAGGTCCGAAAGCAGGGGGCCGACTGAACTGATCTTGTAACTGTTCCACCAAACAAGTAGTACGGCGCTCCTTATTGTAGATCAGTGCCCACGCGGTGTCACGCCTGGTTTCCTGGGACTAGTGTTGCGGATCAGCTGGAAGAGATTGCGATAATTGACTATTGCTCCTGCCTTCTCCATTTCTTGGGCCCGACTGGTGCACCAGGCTTTCTTGTCAGCACACAAGCTCCGCATTAGTTCACACCTAATAGTCCGTCTGATCACATTGTGCTCAGGGCCAGCAGTGGATTTTCTTCTGAATTCCAACAGGTTCATCGACCTCTTGGATCTCCAGTGACTGGTGCGGTGACGATTGATGGTGCCTCAAGCAGATGCTGCTGCGTCGTGCATGGCGGCCGAAATCCTCTTCCACTGAAGCTCAGTGTCATTAAGACAAGACAGCAAATGTTCGGTGAGTAGCTCATCCTGGTAAGCTTGCTTGACCAAGGGCGGATACATTTTTTCATTTAAAGCAGTTGGTTCCATTCAACAATTTGAAAAGCACTGAAAGAAGACGAAGGATGGTAGATGTATGCATTTCGTATTGTCTCCTCAGTACCATTAACAATAACCGGTATGCATAGATATAGCTAATAGTGTGTGCAACCAGACAAGCTTGAGGTGCAGAACGAATGAGGGAAGTTCACACCTACGTCTAAGGCAGCTTTAGGTTGACAAATAATTGTTTTGTACACGCAAGGTTGGCTTCATCCGGTTTATTGCGACGGCCTCAGCAAACCAAAGGAAGCGGGGATCAGTGTGACGTAACGCAACTAAACGCTGAACCCAGCTCTATTCGGTGACCCGAGTCTAATAGGTATTTGCCTATCAAGAAAGCCGGCGGTCTTCGCGAATATGGAATCTGACGAGGGTAGGCAATCTGAGCAATTTCA